ATTCATCTATAGATATGTTCTATTGAGATCACGTTATCTTATGAATGAAAGTCTCCAATAGACAACTTACATACAAATATACTCATTACCATATGCTTTTACAAATTCTTTCTTTTTAAGTTTACTAGTCTCATGCCCACTCAATTCGGGGTGGGCGTGGGTTGGGTCGATTTTTTACCCAACCCAAACCCAAATTAATATGGTCGGTTTGATCAAAAATCAAATCAATCCAACCCATTTATGTGTTTCAATCCAACTCAATCCAATCAAGTTTCGGTCGGGTCGGGTCGGGTCGGGTTAGTCAGTTTGGACATTAAAAATCATGAAAGTATATTCCGACAATAAAATCCTATCAACCACATGAAATATGTAAATAAAAAAAATGATAAAGAAAGAAAATAGATGCATCTTGTACCTGTAATTAAAACTGGATTTGTTTTCAAATCAAAACTTAACAAGAAATGAGAAAGATTAATTAAAAAAATTTACAAAAAAATATTTTTCCATTTATTGGTGAGAAAATAAGAGAGGCGGCGGAAGTGGAGTTGGACTGTGGGAGCAAGAGAGAGGAGGAAGAGGAAGATTATTAGGTTAGAGTTGTGTAATTGCTTTTTTTTTAACTTGTTTGTCCCGTGACTTTTGCCTTTTAGAATATAGTTGCGTCTTTTTTTTTTTTTTAAAAAAACTAAGTAGGTCGGGTTGGGTTGGATTGGGTTAAAACAGTTTTCTTGGATTAACCCGTGACTCGACCCGACCCGTCTTCTTGGCCCAAAACCCAACCCAACTATAAAATTAAAAAAAAATCGACCCAAACCGGTCGGTTTGGACGGTTTAGGCGGGTTGGTTTGGGTTTTACCCACCCCTACGTGTAATGCATGGGCTGTGTTATTTTTAAGGTAATGTTAGCGTGTCGAATATTAATAAAATTATTCTCAAAATTCAGTAAGTTTTCACCTAAATCTTTATTATTTAGACATACAGTAGGTAAATAAAATTCATGGCTCAATTCACTCTAAATAACATATTCTTAAACGTCATTGTACCTCTGTGAGATTCTTTTAGGGATGGAAGTTTTCATGGCATATTTCATATTTTAGTCACAAAAATTGATAACAAACAAAACCACACTCTAATATGAACACGGGATTAGATATAATATACACAACCAAAATAAGTCGGTTATGGAAGCTTTTAGATGTTGAAGTGGTGATGTCGGTTATGGAAGCTTTCAGAGAAAGAAAGTTGTTGATATGTTCCTAAACTTGAATTTAGAGTGTCCAAACTTATTTAACACTCATATAGATCCATTTGTCTTGAGGTAATCAAGGTGAATTAGAGGATAACCCTGGAAGATATATAAGATCAGTTGGAAAGTTGAATTATCTCATAGTCACAGGACCAGACATCTTTTTGTGTGGTTAGTCAGTTTCTTACTTTTCCAATAATGGTCAATGATGTTGTGGTGTATGTTTTTTAAGTATCTCGAAAGCACATTGATGTCAACTGGGCTACATCTCCATTCGTAGCCGTAGAAAGTAAACGTATTAGAAAGAAATAATCTTAGATATGTTAAAACATTCATACAATCAAACTAAAGTTTACAATATCAAAATTTGTGAACAATGACTGAAAATATACTTTAAAAGGAAAAAAATAGTGTTCATAAACAGCACAAAGAAAGCTCAAGAACTTACAAGTTACTATAAATAAATAACCAAAATAAATGTACTACATAAACCTACAAACAAAAACCTGGATAGTTCAATTTGAGGAAGTTAAGACATACTGGAAAACTGAGAGAGAAGACTGAAAGGAAGTTGAATGAAGAAAGAAAAAGAGGAGAAACTTGAAGGGGGTAGCTAGCTCCATGTGATCTCCGATTTCCTTCTCTCATTTTTGTCTTTTGCTCTTGCTTTGCTCTTGCTTTTCTTTCACCACAAGATAGTACATAAGTCAAATTTTCAGACATAATTTGCGCAAGTCAACAATAGAAGCAATAAAATAGCCACATTAATTTCATTTGTCTGCATGACCAGTAAAAATAATTAAGCCTCTTTTAAGTAAATAGGGTAAAACAATTCAACTACAGTATGGAACCCATTTAGTGTGAAAGCTCGATTTCAGGGTGAATAGTAATGCTGGCATCCTCTCTGTTAAGGTAAGGGATGATATGGAAAATGTAGTCAAGATTTATTGAAAATTCAATGTGAACATCAATGAAAAGTAAGATAAACAGTGCAATTGCAACTGAAGACACTCATATTGGAAGTGATATGAAAATCAATAACACAAACCTTGATTGATATAACGAAATGGCCTCCAAGTTTCAAAAAGTATGAGGGATTTAGTGCTAAAATTCTCACCAGCAAGTATAAAAGAATAGATTGAGTAATCTTATCCAAGCATAATAAAAATATGGACCATGCTATATGCACTACATGAGTTACTACATGATTTACTACATGGCCAAGTGGCGACCATGTATTGGAGCCTCGGTTGTGGGGCCATGTATTAAAGCATGTAGTAACTTATGTAGTGCATGTAGCATGGTCCTTTTAGGATTAAACTACATGTACTACATGCTTTACTACATACGCCACTTGGCCATGTAGTACATGTAGTTTAATCCTAAAAATATTGTCTTCCAATAACCAGTCTCATATATCACCATATAAAGGAGAAACTTCATTTTCGTATACATACACAAAAACAAAGAATAAGATTAAACTGAATCGCTTATCCCACAAATCAGGCCAAGCAACATCAGAAAAAAATCTCGTTCACCATAAGCACAAGCACTGTAAAAGGAAATTCTATATTTCACAATAATTCGTTTAGCAAAATATTCCATTGACAAACTTTTTCAATTCCAGAAAATTAAAAGAATTGAAATATGTCATAAAAATGAATTCCTCCACTTCAAAATTTGTAATTTATTTTTTCTCCCAATTATTTTAGCTTTGCATTGAACCATATAGTACGATTCAAAATTTACCACACACACAATAGAAAGAAAAGTTCAATTGAAAGCACACAAGGTTCAAAGATAAAATGATCAAGAATTGATACATAAAGAAATTGTTGGAAAACAGAAAGAACCCTAAACTAAATTAGGAAATAACTCTAAACTAAAGCAAATATCATATGAAATCGACATACCTGACGTCAACGGTGTTCTATTTCTGTAAGATTCTGGTTCTTTGATAAACTTTCAGATAAGTTAAAACACAATCTTCTATGACCGTCGATACTACTACCTAAAAAGAGAGATTCTGTAGACCAAAAAAGGGAAAGAAACAATCATTTTAAAATACACAAGATTTGAATATAACTCATCACAAATCGACACATAAGAAAATATTTTCCAAAAAATAAAGAACCCTTATCTTAAAAAAAAAAAAATGAAATCGACATACCTCAGGACGTTGATGCCCCATGTATGTGGAAATTTTTATGTCCTTTGAAAAATTTCCAGAAAAGGTTCAAACACAAAAAGAGAAGACAATTAGCCGATTAACAGTAAATCGAAAGAAACGGGAACGAATAGAAAGAAAATGATGAAGCTCGTACGCGAAAGTTCTTACCGACGTCGCGTACGAGAGTCTAAATCTGCATAAGAAAGGCAAGGAGCAAAGGAGAGAGTACTGCAGCTAGGGTTTGTGTTCGAAGAAGCAGGAATATAATTAAGCTCTGAATTGGCTACAGATAGTAAATTGTTGCTTATGTTTTTTCTTTTTCCTTTATTTAAGAGGAAGGTAGAGACAAAATAAGAAAGTCAACAATGGTAGGTACGAGAAAAGTCCATATTGCCCTTTTTGTTGTAAAGCTTCAATAATGAACAATGGATGATGGATATGGATAAGATGAGAATAAAAAAAAGTTTCATAAATGAACAATAAATGATGGATTGCCTCTTTTAAGATAGTAGGAATTAGTGCTCTTTTTGAGTCAAAATGATTGGAAAGAGAACATAAAGAGGCTATCTTTTATCAGTATAGCACATGATCCTAAAAATACCAACATTTCGCTCTTCAAACAATGTTCCATTTCCTCTTTCATAACATTAAAATATTAGCAACGTGCTGTGAAAAGTAAAGAAACTACTTACATGTTGAGGCTTTTATCATATGCATGGATGAGAGAAATCACTGTCAAATGTTTATAGTGTTGAAAAGCTTCCAAAGCAAGCATGATATAAAAGCTGTAGTAAATTCAAACAGAAAGAGCCTTTGTTCTGTGCAAGTTTTGGAAGTGTTGGGATCAAGAAAATTATCTTTATCCCTTTCAAGTCTACTTTGTCTTTGTAGATACAGAATGATATAAAGCAACAACTTTCATCTAAGCAGCTAGTGGGATGGTGGAAATTATTTTACAGATTAAAGTGAGATGCTCATGGCCTACTCCATTCCTATAGGAAAGGGGAATAAAGGGGTTGGGGTTGGGGGTGGGCATCAACCATCAGTTAGACAAGGATGTAAACTCAGGAACAGCCTTTTTCAAGTTTCGGCTTGTCGACGGATGGGAAAACATTCATAGTATCAAACATACGTCGACAAAAAATCTAAACTTTAATTTATTATACTGTCGAGTCCTGTAGTGTTATATCAAACATACATCGACAAAGAACTTGGAAAACATAAGGAAAAAAAATAAAAAACAGCAGCTACACTACTTCATATGACCTGCTAACTGAGTTAAAAGCCAAGTCGAACAATGAAAGAATTTTTTCTTGAAATGTGAGTAGCTTTATAGAAATGGTCATTCAATGGACCTTTATTGAATGTAAATGACACTAGACATGACAGAAGCATCGATATACACAGTGAGATGGCAAAAGCACTGGTAGAAACTAACTGAACCCGTAAACAAACTTTATTTACAGAACATCACTCCCCCGGATCTTCCTAATAATTGTGAGAAACCTGATCCATCATCCTTTTTATTTTCCAAGCAAAATCACCTATCCAAAAGGAAAAATAAAAAATTGTCTCTATTAACAATCAAAATCCTTCAACACTAGATCTTCTAGCAGTTGATGACGATGATCTCCGGCTTTCCTGTCCATCTATTTTCTCTAAGGAGAGGGTAGAAGAACATGTTCGGGGAGGAAGAGTTAATGGCAGTGAAGGCAGACTTATTAGAGAAATAGATGGTCCGTTTGTTGGAGGTGGAGAGAAACTTTGCCTGGGAACTGGGGTAATGATCCCATTAAGGCTGGGCGATCTATACATATGTTTTCCACTAACTGCTCCTGGCTCTTGCAGCGGAAATCGAGAGGTATACTTGACGTCTTGTATAGTTTTCAGATGCTTTACAAGGTTTCTCATGGTGGGCCTCTCCGATGGATCCATTTGAAGACATTGCTGAGCAATGTCTGCCACCATCCGAGCTGCCTTGGCTGGGAAACGGCCCTTAAGCTGAGGATCCATAATCAGGGACAGTCTCGAGTCGTCAGCAAGGAAAGGCCGACTCCATTTGACTAAATTCCTCTCTTCCTTGGGATGTCGACTGTCAAGATTTTTCCTGCCTGTGAGCAGTTCAAGAAGTACAATCCCGAAACTCCATACATTGCTTTTAGGTGTTAGCAACCCTCTCTCCAGGGTCTCCATTGAAAGATTTCCTAGAGCCTGAAAACATGTAGGGTAGTTGGAGAGGTAAGATTAGGCTAATTAAAGAAGCATTAAGGTCATGACCAGCTAACATCCCCCACCCCCACCACAAAGCATTAGAAGCAAAAGGCTGGTGCCACACAAGTATTACACTTACAACAGAAGTGTTGGATATATCAGTCTCCGGTATGTGGCTAATGCAACCATATCCAGAAAGCTTGGCACTAAAATCCTTATCGATCTGTATATTGGCAGTTGAAAATTCATGGAACATTGCCTGTCAAGTATCAAAAGAACTCAGTTATAAGACAAACCTAAATCCAAAATTTGGTGGTTGCTGCAAGAAAAACTTGTAATTTTCTCATGTGCAGAAGGCACAAACTCATTCATCTTTTAATGCTTACGAGGAGTTTTAATTACCTGGAAAGGTCCTTCTTCATGCAGGAATGTAAGACCTTGAGCAGCACATAAAGCAACTTTCATTCTGCCATTCCAGTCAATAGGTGGCCCGTTTGATCTTCCATACAAAAGCCTGTCTAAACTTCCATGATATAGCCTCTCATACACCAACATTCTGCGGTCTGATCCCTCACGTGCATGGAAGCCTATCAATTTACAGAGGAAGGGATGTTGCAAGGATGCTAGAGTATTCACCTCGTTCACAAATTCCTTTAAACCCTGCAAAGGAAAAATAAATTGAGAAATTAGTCCTAAAAAATACATGAGATTTTCAAGAATCTGATAAAGAGAAGGTAGAACTATATATTTCATAAATGAAAACCTAATTATACAGGATTTACATTGGATTTCAGTAAGATCTCTACCATTAGTTCTGCAGGGTACTTGCTAATCATAATTGCTTTGGCTACAACATTTCGAAGCATTTGTGGATGGTAGAGGGGTATGAAACTTAAAACAGACTCAAAACATATCGACTTCAATACTGCAAGGAAGCTGCCACAACATTTAGAAGCATTTGTGGATGGTGGAGGTGTATGAAACTTAAAACAGACTCAAAACATATCGACTTCACTACAGCATGGAAGCTGCCCATTCAGTACAACAGGGTCCAATTTCTAGTAATATTGTTGATAACTAAACACAGTACATATCCCTCTTCACGCAGAAGATTCGCGAGAGGAAACCATAAATTACTAGACGAAGAAAAAATATGAGATAAAAAATCCACAGATAAAAAATTTACCTGAGTGGAGGGGTGAAGGCGGGTTACAGTGGCTTCAACCTTGTTTGAACCAAGAGCATCATCCCCAAATGAAGCTCGATATATAACTGACGAAAGTCCTTCAGAAACACATCGCTCGGGAGAGAAGTTGTGGCAAGCAGATGCAATTTCTTCATACGAAAAATTAAGGGCTCCTCTGGTAGGCAATGCAGCAGGCAACGTCGGAGGCAGAGGAAGTGGTCCAGACGCATTAAGAGGGCCACTAGTGCTCACCATTTTAAAGCTAGGTGCAGTCTTCAAAGTAGCAGTATTCCGTGGTGATGGAAGAGGAAGCGGTTGAGGGCGTGACGAAAAAGAATCATATTCAGTGGACAAGAGTGCCTCTTGTTCTGCAGCATGAAGACTTGATGGGGCAGATAATGCTCGTATCCTACTACTGTTTACCCCATTCTTTAACTGAACAGGTTCGACCCTCGTTTTAAAACTTGGGGGTGCAGATTGCAAAGAACGTGTACGGGTTTGAGGTTCAGGCAACATAGTCGGTGTATGTTGCCGAGGGTTATCCTGTCTAATATGCATGAACTGCTCAGATTTCTTCTTCTTGCTCTTCAACACCATAAAACATCCCATATTGCCTACAACAATCTTTAGACTCTAACCAGATAGAATGATGTCCTGTCAAATAGGTATGCATATGATTATACAAAAAATGAAAAACGAGCCAAGATTATAATATTAGTTATCATTAACTTAAACATATCATTTCCAAGCATGCTCCAGAAAGTAAAAATTATATAATTGAAGGTTACGTGCGTCCCAACATATTATTAACTAATACACCCCAAATACCACCAATGTAATTTCTAAAATCTACTACTCAATTCAGAAATTCAATTTCTAGATTCAATATTCCAAGTTCAGATTAAATTTTGACCATTAACAATGATCTAACAGTTGATTACACAATCTGAAAAATCTTACAATACTAACCAAAGCCAGATCCATTAATATCAAACTGTCCATTAAAAGATTCATGGTTAATTACCAAAAAAAGTTGGAGCACGAAATTAAATCATTGAAATTGACGGAATTTCCCAGATGGGCATCTCATTTTCTAATAGAAAATAAAACTACAAGGAAACAAAAAAAAAGACGTATGTACGGTTCTTTCCCTCCAAATATTTCATTACTGAATCCGAATTCATCCCAACCCATAAAACATAAACAAAGAAAATGATACAAAACCAACCTGAGGCAATGATCCCTGAAAAATTGATAATCTTGAGCTAACTTGAAATAAAGCTTGGATTTTTACAATACTATAGATGAACTCAAATGATGAAAAATCAATTCTTGTGATTAAGTGAGGCTTAAATTTGGTGAAACAAGGAAACCCTAAACAAGTCAAATTAATACAAATGAGGAAAGGTAAGAGAATTGGAATACGATTTGAATAGTAAAAGTACAAAAAAATGGAGAAGGAAAGTGAATGAGAAGACCACAGGAGATGAGTAGCAGTAGTCAAACCCAAGAATACCCTTCCTGTAATTCTCCAATTAGTATTAATTTATTTTATGATTTATTAGGATCATTTTCAACCACATATTCAAACATAGAATATTCTACACATATATTAAAAAAAATTCCAATAATTTAACTTAAAAAATGAAATCATTGTGGTAATCTTCATTCCACGCGCCATCAGTCGCCTTTCTCACTGTCTTTTGACATTTTTGACCTTCGATTTTTACTCATTGCAAACAGGTTTCTTCCTTTTTTCCTTGTCTAATTAGTTTGAGTGATTTACTTTAGCACCCTTGTTTGTTTCATCAATAAGGGTTTGTTTGAGAGTTTCGACGTACAAGTTATGAGCGTTTTTAAAGATCAATTTTAAGCATTTATGAATTGATCAATTTTGAGTGATTTTCATACCGATTTTTAAAATTGTCTAACTTATATTTGAGAATTTATTATCCACATGTTCTGAAAGATTTTTAAAATAATAAAATTATATATATGTCCCTTACTAAAATTTTCAATTTATAGTTTCTTAAATAAAATTTTATTACTCATAAATGATATTTTAATTATAGGTGATTTTTTTACATATAAGTTAATATTCAACTTAAAAAATTGAATAAAGTTAAATATATACTGAAATTTTTAAGTTAATATTTTTTTTTGCTTATTAGTAAATTTTACAATTATAAGTTAATTTTATACTGTTAAACTGTTTTAGTTATTTTTTTACTTATAAGTAATTTTTATATTTATAAGTCAATTTTTGTCTTATTAGTAGTGTTTTTATTTTATAACCAAATTTTTTTTACATAAAATTGATTTTTTACTTGTAAATAATTTTAAATTATAATGTATTTTTTCTTATTTTATAAATAATATTTTGTTTATAAGTATTGTTTCTAATTATAATGTAATTTGTTTTGTTTATATATAATTTTTTAGTTAATATATTTTTATTTACAAGTTAATTTTGAAGAAAATATATTGGTTGAAAATAATTATTTTATAGATGGTCAAATTAGAAGAGAATATGATAAACTGTCAAAATCCGTCGATTTAGTGGGTCAAGAGAACTGGTCAAAATGACACCACCAGTTTTTGGTGGTTTTTAAACCATTCAAAATTGATGTTTAAAAAACTAGTAAACAACGATTTATCTAACTCCTCATAAATGGTGCCATCCAAAATCAATGTGAAAAAAGACTCCCAAGCAAGCCCCAAGTGTTTTCATGCATGTGGTGGACTTTTAAACGAATCAAACTTCACCATCGTCTTCAAAAATTACATAGAATCAGATGGTTCCATTTATAAAATTTAAGAAGTTTAATGCATTGATCCGAATCTTGAAATAACTGAATTACCAATGCACGCTGCTACATACACGAGCTTATTAGTTGATGAGAATGTTTTACATCATTATATATCACACTTCATAAAATTTATGTTCAAATTTAACTTTGCCAACCCTAGATCCTAGTTTTGGCTTGACTCCTCTCCTGTTCATTTCATATCGAACTCTCTAAGCTTCCGTTCTTTGAAATTTTGAACTCTCTCATCCCTCTACTTTTGATTTTAAAAATTCATTCCACTCTAATTTTAAGATAGATGTATGTATACACAATTTTCAGTAATTCTTTATATTGCATACCAAATATGATTGATGTGTGACATGTATCTACGAGTGGGCAATTTAGATAATTCAACATAAAGTAAACAAACAAAAAGATTAAGCCCATGTTTGGTAAGGATTAAAATTATTAATAAATTTTGATAGAAGTTGATAAAATGTGTGGTTTAAAAGTTATAGGACCTATAAAACAAGTGGTTGCAATGAATTATTGAATTTGACTTAAATTAAAATAAATTTTAATCGACAGCGAACATGGGCTAAATATATTCACACCACAATTTTTAATAATTAGATTACATTTTAATTGTATGGAAAACTTCATAACATTTAAACATTAGTGTTGACCTCGAAAAATGGCTCCGATACGTGGCAAACAGGATAAGTCTTCACGTATACTCCTCCATGTGCACGGTAACACACCGTCAGTCGCTTGTGGCCCTTTCCGGTGGGGTGGAGACGGCTGGGAGCACTCTGACGGTCAAGTCAGTGTTTCAGTCAATCGAGAAGTGATGTTCGGCGGTGAGGTGGTCACCGGGATGTGTAAATATATGTTGAAAGTTATGATGTAAAGGTTGGAAATGGGAACCCCCTTCTTATCATTGTGTGAGAGTATTTATACTAGAGAAGGGAAGATGAGAATCGTTGGATGGGGAGACACTTGGCTTCAGATCCCGGGTGACCCATCTTTTCATAGGCGTCATTCCTTCAATCCATAGGTTGACAAACATTAAATGTTTCTTACGTAGCAGCTGAGTTGACCATTTGTAGCCTGTCACACGTCCCATCAATCAGTCAAGGACTTGACTTTGGAGAGATCTCCTAAAAGATCTCGGTAGAGATGTGGAGGTGCGGATTGTGAGGCGTAACGAATGAGGAGTGCAGGCCTTTGCATCCACCGTGAATGGCGGATGGTTTGGTTCTTCTATAAGGTGGGGTAATAGTGTTTCAATTCAGAGTTATGGATTCAGTTTGTCCGAGATGGATTCAGTTCGTTTGCCACATGACAACACCGGATTAGTTCGGTCAACACGTGACGGATGAAGTGAATGAATGAGGTGGATGGACGAGGTGGAGGGCCTTAGAAGGCCCATAACAATTAGCATATTTATGCTCAAATCTTTTCACTGTATTTTTTTTAATCAAATTAACATAAATTGGTCATGATTATGATTTCTCTCCAAAATATTCTTGAATAGAGTAAAAAGATCAATTTACCCATTGTATTTTAAAATAAGTAAAATAAATAATAATAATAATACAAACAGACAATTAAATATCCGACCCTCATTTTAAAGAACGTTACAATATTTTTTTGACTAAAACTGCGATTAAAGATAAAAATTTTCTAATTAATGAAATATTAAAAATAAGAATGTCATCAAGAAAATATAAATGTGATAATTAGTAAAAGTTAATAATAATGTAATTAAAATGTGATATTTTTATTAGAAAATGTGGTGTGAAGGTAATCATCCAAAAAAATTAATAATAATGCTATAAAACACTATTGGTACTATAACACTAGTACATGTGGCGCCAAGTGATATGACTAATAAAATGTAGAATTGAATGATTCATTTAATATAAATAATGCTATTTAGCATTATTGATGCTGAGCACCAGTTTAAATGATCACAATTTATAAGCTAAATTAAATGAATTATTTGATATTGCATTTATGTAAATATATCATTTAATATCATGTAATGATCACATTAGTGTCACATGAATCGATATTTTAATATTAGTAGTGCTAAAATATTATTACTAAAAAAAAAGTGTGGTTCAAGGGCATTACAGTCCATTCAAATGGAAATATACCTCCATGTTATTCAAAGAAGAGGGACGTCTACTGAAGTGACAGATGAGTCAAAGTTTGGAAAAACAAACATGGTTTTTTAATGAAAAATACTCGTATGATTTCCCATCAACCTAGATCTTTGACTCTCAAGATCTGCCGTCCAATTTTATTCTCGGGGGAAAGATCCACGGTGCTTGTCCGTCTCGAAGATTAAAGCGGCTTTGGGTCCCACTAACCCCAACACTTTTGCCCCCATACCTGCATTTACAAATCTGTGTACAGGTTCATGTATTTTTGAAATTTCACTGGTTACACGATATTAATGTTTGTAGATGTTTTCAAAAGTTTGATCTCTAATGAATTTTTCATTTTTATCTTTTTAGCTTAAAAAATATTAAAAATCACGATGAGGTTACTTAAGCCCTTGTTTGATCTCCATTATAATAAGATTTTTGAAAATAATGCATTTTGAAATAATAATTTTTGGAAGAATGTGTGGTTAAATTTTTTTTTTTAATTTACGTGCAATATTATTTTATTGAAAATTGTGTAGTTAAAAAAATAGAGAAAAATGTTTTATAATTTTAACTGGAGCCAAAAGGCTCTTATTCTTTTCAATCACACATTTTCTAATAAAATAATATTACACGTAAATCGAAAAATTTTCATTTATTTTCA